CGGGTGCATTTCATGTAGCGTGGCTTACGATGTGTTTTAAATAACCTTGAAATTTCTTGAAATAATAAAAGCGGCTAAAAAGTTAATAGGGCACGTAGGATTAAAATGTGTAATTAAATTAGATAATTGGGCCAACAATAATAGTTGAGCGACCGTGCTAGAACTACGGAACTCGGGAATGTCTAACACCTTCTTCCGGGTTAACATAATTCCTTACCCGGATTTCTGTGTTCGCGGACTATGAAACAGAGTCAATCTTTCCTCGATACGGGATTTAAATCGGTGACTTGGGACATCATAAATTATCCCAAGTGGCGACTCTGAATTTTTAATAAAATAATTCCATTTCGATTATCAGTTAAATTGGAAAAAACTCCCTTATTCCCTCTCGGGTGTAGTAAAAAAGGAGGTATGACAGGTTTATCGAGGGGCTCCATCCCAGCATCAGGATTAGCATGGCCCAGGAGTTGGAGATGGATATTTCGTACCAGCAGCTTGTGAGTATTGCTAGGAGAGTGAAGGGCATTCTTGCTCGGGAGAGAGAGGAGAGGAAGGCCAAGAAATCTCGAGAGTCTGGCACTTATAGTGATACTCGTCCCCCAACTGCATTTCATTATGGTAGGGGCTATGTGAGTCACCATGTTCATTTAACACTTCCAACCGCCAGTGGTATTCCGGCTACTCTTAGGACCCAGGAGCCTTATTATGCACCTCTAGTATCTAATATACCTCTTGCATGGGGTGGTTTTAGCAGTCAGTCCAACAAACCTGGCCCGAGCCAGCCACAATAGCCACGCCCTCCGAGAGCTTGTTTTGAGTGTGGCGACACTCGCCATATGGTGAGGGATTGACCCAGACTTAGGAGGGGTCCACCTCCACAGACTTCTCAGACATCGTGTGCTCTACCGGGTCCTCAGGCTATGATTACAGCACCAGCTAGCACTCCACCTACTCAGCCAGCTCGAGGTAGAGGTCGCCCTAGAAGGGGAAGTCAGGACAGATATTATGCTCTTCCTGCTCGTACATAGGCAGTTGCTTCCGACTCTGTCATTACAGGTATTGTTCCAGTCTGCCTTAGAGATGCATCGGTTTTATTTGATCCAGGCTCCACTTATTCCTATGTGTCCTCTTATTTTGCCCTATATTTGGGCGTACCTCATGGTTCATTGAGTTCTCATGTTTATGCGTCTACACTTGTGGGAGATTCTATTGTTGTTGACCATGTGTATCGGTCGTGTTTGGTTGTTCTTAGTGGTTTTGAGACCAGAGCCGATTTATTATTGCTCAGTATGGTAGACTTTGATATTATTTTGGGCATGGACTAGTTGTTGCCCCATTATGCTATTCTTGATTGTCACGTTAAGGCCGTGACTCTAGCTATGCCAGGATTACCGCGGTTAGAGTGGAGAGGTACCTTAGATTATGCTTCCAGTAGAGTTATTTCATTTCTTAAAGCTCAACGAATGGTTGAGAAGGGTTGTGACACGTATCTAGCTTATGTGAGAGATGTCAGTATTGGTACTCCTACAGTTGAGTCAGTTCCAGTAGTGAGGGATTATCCCGATGTATTTCCAGTTGATCTTCCAGGCATGCCACTCGACAAAGATATTGACTTTGGTATTGATTTGTTGTCGGGCACTTAGCGCGTCTCTATTCCTCCATATCGTATGGTTCCTCTTGAGTTGAAGGAATTGAAAGAACAATTACAGGAATTGCTTGATAAGGGCTTCATTCGACCCAGTGTGTCACTTGGGGTGCCCCAATCTTGTTTGTGAAGAAGAAGAAGGATGGTTCTATGTGTATATGCATTGATTATCGCCAGTTGAACAAAGTTATAGTGAAGAACATGTATCCATTTCCTCGTGTTGATGACCTATTTGATCAGTTATAAGGTACCAGAGTGTTTTCTAAGATTGACTTGCATCCAGGTTATCATCAATTGAAGATTCGGGAGCTAGATATCCCGAAGACTACTTTCAGGACTCGGTATGGTCACTACAAGTTCCTTGTGATGTCATTTGGGATGACCAATGCCCCAGCAGCATTTATGCATTTGATGCACAGTGTATTTCGGCCCTATCTTGACTCATTCGTCATTGTGTTTATTGACAACATTATGGTGTACTCCCAAAGTCAGGAGGATCATGAGTAGCACCTGAGGACTGTGCTTCAGACCTGAGGACTCTTGCCACTTGCGAAGTTTGCCTACAACAACAGTTATCAGTCGAGCATTCAGATGGCACTGTATGAGGCTTTGTATGGTAGATTGTGTCGATCTCCAGTGGGTTGGTTCAAGCCGGGCGAGGCTAGGCTTTTGGGTATAGACCTAGTTCAGGATGCCTTGGAGAAGGTTAAAGTGATTAAGAATCGACTTTGCACAGCCCAGTCTAGACAGAAGTGTTATGCGGATGGAAAGGTTCGCAATGTTGCATTCATGGTTGGGGAGCGGGTCTTGCTTCGAGTTTCGCCCATGAAGGGTGCTATGAGGTTCGAGAAGAAGGGCAAGTTGAGCCCAAGGTTTATTGGTCCATTCGAGGTATTGCAGCAAGATGGGGAGGTTGCTTATGAGTTTGCCTTGCCTCCCAGTCTAGCAGGAGTTCATCTAGTATTTCATGTTTCGATGCTCCGAAAGTATCACGGTGATCCGTCTCATGTGTTGGATATCAACTTAGTCTAGTTGGACAAGGATCTATCTTATATTGAGGAGCCGGTAGCTATTTTGGATAGGCAGGTTCAAAAGTTGAGGTAAAAGAACATCGCTTCAGTGAAGGTTCAGTGGAGGGGTCAGTCGGTCGAGGAGGCGACTTGGGAGGCCGAGCATGATATGCGCAACCGTTATCCTCATCGTTTCACTACTTCAGGTATGTCTCTATACTCGTTCGAGGACGAATGATTATTTTAAAAGGGGGAGGATGTAATGACCCGGCCGGTTGTTTTGAGAGTATTAGCCCCTATCCCCTATTTACCGCTTTCCCTGTATCTTTTTCTACTTGTGTGATTTACCGGGATGTTCTGCTTTTGTGAATCTTAACATGCTATCAAGCATGGCTTAAGCCAAGAATCAACTTTCTCCTTTCAAGATATGAATAATATTGTTTCAAATCCATTGGAAAATAATTTCCTATACGTTTACGTTTTGCAATAAAGATAAAAAAAATAGGGTTAAACAATCTTCAATATCGAATAGTGTATATCACAATATGTTTTCTTACATGACCAACTGTGTTGCAATTTTAAGAGGCATATCGACGTATATAACAAGAGTCCTGATCATAACAAAGCAACAGAAACGGATGGAAGGAAACATACATCAGGGATATCGTTTATAAAGAAGTATTAGGTGAAGTACGCTTATTACATATTTATACCTCATAAAAAATGACATGTACTTAATTAAACTTTAATTGTACATCTTCTTTGATTCAGACAATATTCAATCATTCCGACCTCGGCAAGGAAGTCACTATATACACTACGATCCACATTGATTATCCACAAAAAACTTGTACTTTTAATCTTTCATGTATTTTTGTTACTCAAAAGTTTGTTTTAATAATATTAATATTATTTACAAATCACCTATTACATGATACAACATAAGGAGAAACTAGTATAGTATAATTTCGAAGAAATTATATCATATATCACTTGGGTCATACAGCCCATTCGAAAATAGCCCACATTTGAAGCCTTTACCTAGTTTAGCCCAGGTTGTATATGTTTTGAAATTTTGTTTTCACCCGGTAGCCCACAAATATTATTAACGGTTTTTGCTTTTTAAATTTCTTTTTCTCTCTCTTTTTCTCACGCTTTTCTCAGAGACGAAGGCAACCATCCTCCATTGTTGGGTCTCAAGTAATTTTTTGAGCTTTCAATCTTATTTTCCGGCAATTTTTGTTTCATTTTATGCTTTTACCACAGTTTTGGTTTTAAATTTTGTTTTAATTTTAATTTTTTTGCTTTTTTGATTTTGAATATTTTCTTAACAATGTTGTTGTGTTTTTCGTTCGATTTTGTGTTCCCTCTATCTTTGTTCTGGGCCTAAACTTGATATTTTAGTTTGCATGCTTTCGACTTTTAGGGTAGAATTTAATTTTTGAGTTTTGTTACAATTTGGGAAAATTGGCCTCTGCTTTGTGTTCATGGCCTTTGTTTTTTGTTTGATTTTTGTGTTTTCCTTCACTTGTCTTCACTTTTGTTAAAGCTTTGTTTGCTTTATTGTAGAAAATACGTTCAAAAATACCTGCTTCTAAAAGTCGTATGAAGGTCGTTGGAAAAGGTGTTAAGTTCGATTTTGCGAAAAAATTGAGGGACTTGCCCTCAAGCCCTGATTCTGAAGCTAATGTGCATGTCCAGGCCCCAGTCCTGCTCCTCCAAAAAAATCTCAACAAAAGAGCAGTCGAATGACTCGTTCGCAAACGAAGAATACTCCTACTCCAGTTAAATCATTGAGGGACTTGCCCTTAACCCCTGATTCTGAAGCGAATGCACATGTCCAGGCTCCCGATGATGATGATTTTGAGTCTCCTGCTCCTACAAAAAAGTCGCAACAAGAGAGCAGTCGAATGACTCATTCGCAAACGAGTAATACTCCTACTCCAGTTAACATTATTAGAATAAGGAGTAAGAAATGTGGGAGACATGAAAATTCCAAAGAAAATCAGAAAGTTGATTTGGTTAATGAAGATGATGTAGGTCCCAGTGTTAAATCGAAAAAGAAAAGATCAAGTACGATGGTGAGAGTGGTCTTGATTGCATATCCAAAGAACAAAGGATTGCTATTCGCCGCAAATTGAATGAGAGAAAAGCTAAGCTAAAGGTATTCCCTGTGTTGCTATTAATTTTATACATGCTGATACAATTTCATACAAAGTTGTACAGTTGTTTAACATATTTATACAAGTACTGCTACACTGATTTATACATGTTTATACAATATTTTAGTATAGTTTTTGTTCCTGATTTCTTTCTTGTTATTTTTCCATATGCAAGGTTGGAGACTTTTATATACAACCAGTTGATCATTTCCACAACAAGATTAGTTCCCATACCGAGACTGATATTGTTAGTATTTTGAAGCAATGTTTGACTGACACGCACCTTCAAATGTTCTGTGCTAGTTGTTTTGGGTACTTCTTGGACCTGCCTTAATTTGAAATTCAAAATCAACTTATTCATTATATACTATTGAGAGAAGTCGTCCCAGGGCGGGAAAGGGAGTTGTGGGTTAAAATTAATGGTTGTTTGCTGCGTTTTGGCATTGAAGAGTTTGTTGTTATCACTGATTTGAAGTGTGTAGAAGAAGATGCCACTTTCTATGACAAACCAGATGTCAATAGGTTGCTAAAAGAGCATTTTCTAGGAGATTGAAAAAAGGCTATAATGAGGGGGCAACTTCTTGATCGCTTCAAGAAAAATGACTGGAAGTCGGACGAAGATGCGTTCAAGATGGCCTTGATGGTGTTTGTCCATCATTTCATATTCTCAGATGCCAATAATCATGGTATCAACAAAGATGATTTTGATATCATTGAAAGTGGTCAATATCAGACATATGCTTGGGAAAAAAAGTCATTTGAAGATATTTTAAAGACAATGAGGGACAGACAGTGTGACTATTTGACAATGTATAGGCTCGGAGGTTTGCCACTTGCGTTACAAATATAGTTTTTTGAGTGTTTCTCTATGGTTGACAAACATCTAGCTATTCGCGTTGGCACAAATGTTCCACGCATTCTTCATTGGAAAGTCACGGAAACTCCAAAATATGCGAATTTGACTGGCGGGGTGATCATGTCTAGTATCGACAAGGTAAACATTTTGTACCATAATACTTCTTCATATATGATTTCAGTTTTTTTGTAAGTATGTATACTTATGAATATATCACAATTTCCTTTTTCTATTATTGTAATCCAGTTTTTGTTATTGTAGTTGACATATACGAACATTTCCCCTACTTGTGAAGAGATGTCAACTCTGAACATCGCCACGCTTTTTGAAGTTAATGCCGATGATATTGCATCAGGGGAGGTGCTTGCCTTTCACACTGATAATTCTGTCTTTACATCTCCATATTGTCCTCAGAATATGGAGCAACAGTCTAAATGACCTTATCTTCAGAATACGAAGCAACAGTCTAAACGACCTTATCCTCAGAATACACAGCGCCGGCCTAATCCGAGTTATAATCCTTCGGTGCGCATTGATCTGTTGAATGTTGAAGTTGAGAAGTTGAGGAGTGTTGCTGGAAAAGTACTGGAGCTTTAGCTTTTCTATAGTTTATCTGTACTTTTTGTATATACATGATTTTTTGGTTATAAACATGGTTGTTGATTTACTTTTGTTGTTTTTGTTGTTTTTTGTTTTAGTTGACTGATACAGTTACGACACTCAATAGTTATGTAGTTTCTTCCTTTGAAAAAGTGTTCAGTTTTCTGAACATGAAGGAAACCAAGCAAACGAGGGAAGAGGTTCCTGATTTCAAGGTAATGTTTTACTGATAAAACCAAATCAGTCAACAGTTATGCCTTCTTTGAATCATCACTCAATAATTATGCCTTCTCTTTCTATTATTTTTTATTAGATTCATCAGTGCGTGTCTGATGAAAATACATCTGGTCTCGGCGAATTTGATGGCTATCAATATGATGTTGTTCCTGACTTTGTCGATCAAGTGAATCAATATAACACGCTAGCTGACCAAACAGATTTAGGTGTCAAAGCAAACGAGGGAGTCACTGATGGTGTTGATCATGGTATTCGTTCTACATTTTATTTTCTTTTTTTGTCTGATTTTTCTTTTCTTCATTTTGAAAAGTTTTTATTATTGGTTTTCTTTGTCTAAGGGGCAGAAGGTGATGTCAAGGATGATACATTTTGGGATGACATTAGCGATGAAGATTTAGCTACACTACTGATGTCCCAAAATGTGCTTCACAGACCACTCATCATAGATGTAGAAGAGGATTACATTTCTCCTGAACAGTTGGTTCGACAGAAAATACCAGGAAAATATGCTAAATCTCCATATTTGCCAGTTTTTTATTCGGGGGCATCAGGATCGGTGCACTAGCTCATTTTTATATCAGACATCCTTTCACGATCGAAATTGATGATTTTGATCCCTTGTCACCATTGGCCAAAGAGTTTTACGCGTTTGTTGATAATGGGGTGGATACGAGGCGAAGGCATCTTAACTTTCTGTAAGCTTTCATGTTCTGATTTTATACTTGTCAATGAAGGTAGTTCTGATTACTTTTTGTTTTGTATGAATTGAAGTGCCAAAAATATTTATACCGATGAAGTAAATAAGCTTGCGGAAGCTTTTACTTTTGGCTCGTGTCATGTGACCACGAAGGATTGGTTCCACTCACTCGTGTATTATGGTCGACCTTTGATTGACATGGTATTTAATAACTTTCTGTCCTAATGCCTTTTTTATTTGTTGCGTATATTTACTGTTTGAGACCCCCATAGTGTATACATAACTTTGTATAATCACGGTATAAGATTGTATAACCTTGTATAAATATGTATAACTCTGTATAATAGCGTATAAATTCGTATATTTAAAAAATCTAGTAGTGATGGTTGTTTTATTTTATTTCTTTTCTCAGCACTTGGATGTCCTCCTTTATTATTTGATGAAGAGGGGAAAATATGGGCCGAACGTTGCCATGCGATTTACTAAAACCGACTTTGCCTTTGGTAACAAAATCAACTCCCTGTATAAGGATTTCAAAGTGAATCAAGATCCTTCAGTGATTCCTGAAGGACATGAGATAGAAGAGTACATTAGAGGGTCTTATTGTGATGCAAATGTAGCGTGGCACACTGTTGTACACGTCTTATTCCTTATCTATGTGAAGCGCGAAAGAGCAAAATTGGGCCATTGGGTTTTGGGGTTGTTTACGTTCATAGATAGGTGCATCCACATTTATGACTCTAACCGCGGAGCTATTAATGATAGACTTGCTTTGGATGCTACATTACCTTATGCATTTGATACCTCAATTCTTGAAGAGTTCTGATTTTTATGTCGAGAAGAAGGGCATTGATTGGAACAATGGTGCATATCCCGATAAATCACATGCTGATGCTTTACAAATTAATCTAGTTAATAATGTGCCACAACAGATCAAATGGTAGGTTAATCTCAATTATTTTACTATTTTACTATTAGTGTACCTATTTACAGTAACGTACAGAGAATCTAATTTTTTTAATTATAGTGATTGTGGTGCTTTTGTTACTGGTTTTGCTGAGTATTTCATCCTGGGTAAGGAAATTCAAAAAGATAATTTTGACATTGAGACATTTCGCACCAGGCAGGGATCTCTGTTCTGGGATTATGGAAGGAAAAAACAACAGTCCGGTGCAATTAGTGGTGATGAAATCACAGGGAGACTTTTCAGGAAAAGGGGACGACCGAGAAAGTAGTTCTGTTTTTTTCATTTTAATGTAGTTTTGCTATGTATCAAGAGTTGTTGCCTAGTTTTGTCTAAGTACTATTATGCTATTTGTGAGATAACATTAAAGGATATTATAGATGTTTTTATTTTTGTGTAATTTGTGGTAGTCATTACACATTGTGGTTGTGAATGAATTACATTTTAATGAATATTTCAGTTGCTTTTGTCCTTTAACAAAGTATTTACTTTCGTTATTGTTGCAGTTTTGTTAATGTTGCAGGGTTTATACATATGTATACAATAATATACATAGTTATACAATTTTATACAACCATATACTCTCATTTATACATCTGTATACATATAATAACATTGACTGTTTGCAGTTCTGATTTGCATTTGTACAATCTATCAAAATATTTAGCACTATTAAAAACAACAACACACTATTATTGGATAATCAAAACATGTATAATGAAACATATTTAACGTAATTGCAACATATAGTGTAAATTGTAATTCTTTATTGGCATATGTACCTCAAATGTTTGTGAAACTTAACTACTCAATATTTGTAACTCTATTGTTTGTGAAACTTAAGTCCTCAACATGACAACATATGTAATAGGAAGTGTTATGTTTCCAACTATTTATTTTGGTCGATTCCTACATGTTTTTCTATTGACCATTTTGTCCACACACAGAACATGAAAACACCCTCTTAGACTCTCTCTGAAGCAGGTTTGAGTCTTTCCTTTCTTGGCCTTCCTACATTCCTTCTCCATTTAGGTGGTAGGACCACATCTTCTAGCACCTCTATTGGAATTACCCATAAACTCTCATTTGGCATCGGATTCACTGGAAATTCATAAGTTCTAAGGAGGTTATCCTTCTTGTAGTAAAAAGAACAATATTAGCCAGGTTTCAGCTGTTGGTTATTCAAAACCACCCAAGCATGCGGACATGGAAGTTCATCCATTTGAAATTTATTGCAACTGCATGTTCCCTCTTCAAGGCACACTATGTTTCGCCTTACCCCTTCAAGCACAGTATATAACTACTCCGCAGCAGGCCTCACCTGCAAAAGTTTTCTTTAAAAAAAAGTTAAACCACATTATACATTATTATACAGAGTTATGCATCCTTATACAAGCAGTAAAATGCAAGTCAGTAGTGCCATGCATCATTATTTTTGATTTGTTTTACCGTCATTTGCTTCGATGCAATCAGATTTTCCTGAAGAAGTTTGTCGTACTTTTTGCCAAGCTCTGTAGATGTCTCCATTGCACTTTCTCTATTTTTGTTGTTCCATTGTCGTAGCAAATTTGCCATGTACTCCAACAATCGCATTACTGGTAACTCTCTAGCATCTTTGTTTGCTGCATTCATTGACTCTGCAATATTGGAAGTCATTACCATCAACCTTTTCACTTTGGAGTATGCCCTAGACCACCTTTTGTAGCTAATTTTGAACAAGTAAGGCTGCACCCTCGGATCAATTTGCACATCTCTATCATATGGTAGTCAAATTTCTCTATCGTGTAAGCTCTAGCCAAAACAAAGAAGATATCCTTCAATTGTTTGTGATGTTTATTGAATGTGCACTTGACATTCTGCCACAAGTGAAACATGTAAATACAATGTGGTACTTCTGGGTACACAGCTTTTGTGGCATTGAAGATGCTTTCATTTCTATCTAAAACTATACACATCCCTGTAATGACTCGACCGGTCATTTTGAGCTTTTGCACTTCACTCGCTAGTTCTCGGGCATGACTAGCCCCGTGTGATACATTATGACTTATGTGAATCGTTGATTTTGGTTTTTCAGGGTAATCAGAATGAATTTAAAAGAGCAGTCCTCAATTTGAAGTTTAAAATTTAAAAGGTTTTACCAAGATTTGACTTGTTGGTATATGATCTCAGATCGGAATTTTTATGATTTGGTTAGCTCCTTTAGGTGATTTGGGACTTAGGAGCGTGATCAGAATGTGTTTTGGAGGTCCGTGGAAGGTTTAGGCTTGAATTGGCGAAATTGAGATTTTGGTAATTTCCGGTTGATAGGCGAGATTTTGATATAAGGGTCGGAATGGAATTCTGGAAGTTGAAGTAGGTCCGTTGTGTCATTTGTGATGTGTGTGCAAAATTCCAGGTCATTCGGACGAGGTTTGGTAGGCTTTTTGATCAAAAGCGGAATCTAGAAGTTCTTGGGATTCTTAGGCTTGAATCCGATGTGATTTTGGTGTTTTGATGTTGTTTTAAGCATTCCAAAGATTGGGACAAGTTAGAATGAAGTTATAGGATATGTTGTCATGTTTGGTTGAGGTCCCGAGGTGAGTTTTGGATGGTTAAACGGGTCAATTTTGGACTTTGGACTTGGCAGTTTTTGCTGGTTTTTGTTGCAGACGATTTGTTCTGCGCGTTCGTGGTCAGGGACTCGCGTTCGCAAAAGGTGTTTTTGTGTGATGATATTTTTGTTCTACGCATTCGCGAGGAAGAGGACGCAAATGTGAAAGTGAAGGCTTCATGTGTATAGCGGACGCGTGACTGGGGTCGCGTTCGCAAAGAGGAGTAAGGTCGTTGGGCACCCCAGGCCCTTGTGTTATGCGTTCGCGAAAGGCTGGTATGGTGAAGCATCGCGTTCACGTGGAATCATCCGCGTTTACAAAGGAAAAATGTAGAGGCAGTGAATTTTGTCTACGCGAACGCGAGAGTGCAATCGCGTTCGCGAAGAAGGAAATTTTACCTGAGGCAGAATGTTTAAAAGTGGGTTTCACGATTTTTGGTTTATTTTCTCCATTATTGAACAATTTTTGGAGTTTTTGAGAAGGATTGAAGAGGGAATCGAAGGGAAACACTTG